GTTAAACCCTTCCCACACTCTTGCAATGTTTTAAACAATGTTTCTAAAGTCTAAATGTTCTAAAAAGGCACATAATGTCATGATTTCAGCTCCCTGCCTCCTCTGCTCTTTGCCACCTGCAAGCGCTCTTGGCCACGCCCACTTCTCCGCTCTGCACGCTGAACAGCTGATCAGCTGATCAGCTGCAGCAGGAAGTTTATCCTGCAGCTCTGGGCTGCACAAATGTACAGCAGGTGCTAAATAATTCAAAATAATTTATTTGAAATAAAAATTCCATGCCGGTCATGCGGCTCATCAATCAGTCAGCCAATTGTGTGTCATGTCCAACGTTATTTTGAAAAACCGCGATAGAGCGAGTCCGCAATAAATGAAATGTGAAGTAGCGAAGGTCTACTGTACTCAAAGCCAGTGCATATCACAGATTACTCTCTTTATCCCATCCTCAGCATCAGTCCAGGGTTTTTCTTTGTTTTGTGTATCTGTCTTTTGCTGGAAGGGACTGACTGTTTTGACTGATGCTGTTTTAACAGCTCACTGGAGAGCTTGTGGAAACCAGCTGTCTTAGTTATAACTGGTTTAATGCAGTATCGATGTGAAGAGGCAGACTGGACGAGCAAAACAATTCTGACATACTGTTTGGTGTTTCCAAATAGACATTTTCAAGACAATGTTTAAGCCAATATCTGCAAAATTTTGTTATATTATTTTTTTTGTGTGTTGGCAGTGGCAACCACCTTGAATTGGATGGTTTATTCAGTCGAACGTTTACATCCAATGACTGTTTTCTGAAAGCTTCATTAAAATCCATTTAGTGTTTCATGCGATAACAAGCAGAGTTGACTCAAGTGACCCCTGAAGAAGGGAGCGGCTGAAATAAATGTTATAAAGAAGGATTGTCTGGAAGACTTTAATCAACTTACAGGAAAAAAAAGCAACATAAAATTATATTCTGACACTGTAATAAGCTGTCACTCTACATCAACCCAAAATTAGACTCCCTAAGCACCTTTTTATTTACTACAGCTGACCTTTTAAAAATGGAAAATGTTGGACCAAGATATAAAAAGGTCAGATTGCTGGTGCAGCAATACATGCTAAAAATATCTGACATGTTAACTTTTTTTTTATTATTATTTTACTTTCAAGAAATTCTCATCAGTGCACTCCCATTTTATCCATCGACTCAACCTTGATGGTACTCTTCACTGAGCAATGTCTACTTTTTATTTTGAGGGGCTGTGCATTTTTTTAAATAGTCTAAATGTGTGAGCTGTGCGTCACGTGACATTACTGTTACTGCTCCACAGAGACTGATTGCATAAGATTTGAGCCGTTGTCCAAGTTTACATCAGAGATCACATAGCTGCTGAGAAATCCTCTCCAGGCAGCCAGAGGAGCCAATGTGCCAAATACATGACATTCATCTTCATATTTTTCATCGGATATAAGTAGAAAAAAAAAAAGATTTATCTTACATTTGAAACAAACTGATAAAAACATACACTTAAAACACAAATCAGAAGCGTTAGATTTTTGTGTCTTATCCAGTTTGTGTTAGATTGCTGCACATTTCTTACTTTATCTCTTTCTGCTTTGTTTCCTTTTGGCTGATGTCTTCTTCAACACAGTAGTCCAGGACAGAGCCAACTCCGAAGGCCTGGTTCTTCTGGATCAGAGGCTTGATGGCCACATGGTCCTCACCAGCTACAAACTGGCCGTAGAATGTCATCTTCATGAGATGATCAAAAAGTTTCTGGCCCAGAATCTTTTTACCTACATCCATTATCTAAGTAGATGGAGAGAGGCCATTACAACCAGTTTATGAGCTTCACAGACACATAAAAAGCCTTGCTATTAATAATATATTATTATTGGACTTCTATTAGATGTTTATAAGTCATAACACCACATGACATGGCTTGTCATGATTTTAGTTTACCTAATACATCATTAGGCCTGTCACGATACAAATTTTGCTGGGCGATAAATTGTCTCAGAAAGTATTGTGATAAATGATAACACTGTTTGAAATTTGACAATAATTAGTAATTAGTGTCACATTTAATTAGAAATGTTGGTTAAATTTATTTTGAGCGTAGTACCTTTTTGTGACCACCGGATGGCAGTATAAGACAGTTTGAACCGAAGGATGGATAGTGAGGGAGCCAGCAGTGTGTCTCTTTATAAAAAATTTAAAAAAAAGGGAGGGAGGCCTCTTGACGTGACATGGGCTTTTTCTCCTTTTTTTTCTGGTTCTCAAAATGGCGGATGCTCGGTGTGGTTTGAGCTCTTTAGCATAGCAGTTTTCACACAAAGCTTTTAATAAAATATCAGTAAACAAGTTCTCAGCTTCTTTTTGTAGAGAAAAACAACTTTTTTTACATGAAGGCACATGATTCAACGGTGAATTTTGGAGTTTAGACAAGACAGAGGTTTTTTCCCCGAGGTCAGTCTGTTAGCTTAGCTCGTAGCTTAGCTTCTCAGCTTGGCTGCATTTAACAGTCCAAAACTGCAATTTTGGACGGTTAAAACGGATTTAAAAGATAAAAGAGAAAGGGAGGGGTCAGTGAAGAGCACCAGAGTTGAGCCTTTTTCCATCCAGTGTCTTCAGTAGAACGAGAGTGACGAAGAAATGATAAAGCCGATAAATGAGGTTGATAATTTTCATACATCATGCAATTAATAGATTTATTGTTTATTACGACAGGCCTATAAATCATGAAAACAAACTAAAAACTAGCAGGTAGATTGTTTATTTAAAAAAGTAGGGATGCACAATATTGGATTTTTGGCCAATGTTAAAACTTATCTGGCCGATAACTGATACCAATACCAATATCTTTTTTTTTCCTAGACCTATACTTGCAGAGACTAAATAGCTTCTCTGCTGTTGAAATAAAATACGACATTATTCTGCATGGTCTTTGTCAATTTGGCCTGCTACCAAATGCAGATGTGAAAAAGGAGTATGAAAATGATGTAACACTTCAACTTAGATTATGTTTCATGTCAAATTTATTCATATTTACTCTCCCTAACACAATGACAACACTCGAACAATGCAAACTTGTACATTTTCACAAATCTAAACTCACCGGCGCATGTGATGTCATAACGTTCCGCTGGTG